CGGACAAGCCAAATTTAACTTGGTTTTTTAACTCTAATATATTAAATTTTTATACATTTTTATTTAACATGTGTACATATATAAAATAATTAAAAGGTAAAACTAAATTTCTGAAATTCATATTATTCATAACAACGATATTATTGACCAAAAAATTAACAACAAAAGATTCAACAACAATGTCTATAATATAAATCAAAACAACCACATATTTCACATTTTTAAAAACTAAAATTAAAAACAAAATTACATAAATAGTTTACCCGCGTGTACGCAAGAAAATCACCTAGTGACTTTAAAATAAGAAGAAAAAAAATTATAGGGATTTTTGGAGTGGTTCTTTGTTAATACAACATGTTTTCAAATAAGATCTCCCAAGCAACTGGTGGAGTTTTCTAAATCTTCTTACGGGTCAGTGAACTTTAAACAATGCTAAGTCTAAGCAAACAATGGGTAACTTGTAATACCTTCCATTGCAAGAACCAGTTGCTATGCATTTGTCCCCTCGGATGTGCTGTTGGAAGAGTTTCCATCATCAGCCGGTTTCATAAACCAATTACGAACCTTGATCATATCAGCATGACTTAGCTTTCTCTTTGTGATCTTCTCTTGATAATCCTCAGAAGCGCGAACCTGTTTCCAATCGCAATAGATCAGTCTTCCTTTTCTTCTGAGCAGAAGGCGAAGGTACTAATCACTGCTATCCTTTTCTTCCAAATTAGTTGACTTGCTTTTCGATACACAAAGCTCTTCCTAGGACCTGGAAAGCTCTGGAGGTCGATCTTCTTCATGAAGCGCCATCATCATCGCACGGTTGCTTCTGTGGGTTCACTGGTTTCGCGATTAGACTAGATTGGATCTCGTCGACGGCTTCATCGCAAAGTTCCAGAAGGAGAGGAACAGCTTTATCATTGATTCCGAGAGAGATATCTTGCAATTGTTTTCTGATTTTGTCTGCCATGACTAATAAAAATTAAGGAAAAGGGATTCCTTCGATTTGACCAACACTCCAGAGTATATATAGATCATCGAGAGAAACAGTTGAGGCCTTGGAAACTGTTTCCCCGATAAATTTGCCTGAGAAAACCGCCGGTAACCGGCGACGAACACTCTTCCAGATGAGGCGACATAATCGCACAAATAATTGCATCTCTCTCCACACTTTTTAATTCTGTGCAAAAATTAAATTTTGAGCAAGTAAAAAAAAAAAGAATTTTTGAAAAATCCAGGAGATGACACCTGTTAAAATTGTTTACGTGTTGTTTTGAGAGTAAAAAGTGAGTTTCTCTCTAACGGGATTATGATCAAACCACGTTCATGCAAATATTTTATGCTGTAAGACTGGAGTGTTTACCGTCCATCTATCTTAAAAAAGATGGTTGTAAAATTGGAGGGAAATTAAAGACCTTGACAATTTCTCATCACCAAAATAAAAGTTTATTGCTTTTGTAAACATCAACAAAATTTCTCATCAAAAGCCCATTTGTTTTAATGGGCTCATGATCTTTTAGTTTTTCAACATAATATACATATTTGTATTTGTAATAATACAATAGTAATGGAGTTTTGGAAAGAAAGAAAAACTGAAAAGAAATTCAATGTCCACAGTAGAAAATATTATTAAAAAAAAGGAAAAAGAATAAAACGTGGGGTTCCTCATGCATAATGTTAAACAGTAGCGTTATTAAACTAAGAAGCTCTCGCTTTGTGTGAGTTTTTCTTTTTAAAACATACAAATAGTTAATTAAGAATAAACTCACACATATATTAGTCTATGACTGAGACCCCATCACACACCACTTGCACACATTTAGTACCTGATTCTGTTCCCAACTGTTAGTGTGTGTAGGCATTTTGGACATTTTCTTGTTGCGACTCTTATAACTTACACCATTTTGAAATAGAGTAGAACCATGCTTTAGGCCTTTTCCTATTTAGCCGATCTCTCATTTTTTGGATTTTCAACTTATCTTGATTGGAATTGAGTGTCTCCATAACTTGTTAGCCTCAGGGCTTCCGCGTCTTCTATCGAAAAAGGCGGAGGAGAGTGATCGGAAGCGGTTAGAGGCAATGATGCTTCGGCGTTTGGTGACTTCAGAAGACTCTCTTTTGTTTTTTGTTGTTGTTCCATCATTATTTTCAATTGTTGCCCTTGTTCTTCGATTCGCAGTTGTAGATTTCGTTGAATCTAAAAGAATAAAGGTACTTTAATCAGGATGAGTGGTAAGAAAATTGTATTATCTAGTTTAGTATAAGAAAATATTTCATTAGCGACATATCTATATGATATCAGCATGAGAAGAGCTACAAAATGTTCAAACATATATACAATCTCAAAAATAGAAAGACTTCACATTTTGTTAAAAACAAATTTTGATGTATAGCTTAAAATATTTTTATCTAGTTTTAAAATCTAAATATTATGAGCATAATGAAACCGGCAAGAGAACCCCTATCTAACCCCACAAATACTTTAATGGGGAACTGGAAGCACTAAATACCAACACAACTACTTATAATGTAACATTTGATTGTATTTACTTGGTAAAAGGTATCTTAATTATATCTAATAAACCAAGCTATATATTTATATACATTTTGTAACTTACCTCTAGTTGTTCATGAAGATGCCTCTGAACATCTAGTTGAAGCTGGAGTGCCTCTTTAATTTGCACTCCACTGTCTCCACAACATCAAAAAGAAAGAAAAATATTAAATCATTAGCAAGTCATTATTTATTTATTTTTGAATAATGTTAATAGTGTCTTGTTGTTATTGCTACGCTAAGCCATTGGGTCATTAACTTTGGATTTATATAGAGGAAAAATAGTTCTATATATATAGTAATAAAGAAAATATTATTTTTGGC